AGCTTCTCCCTCACACTTAGTCCTTCGTTCCACACTCCCCCGCGGTCGCGTCCAGTTCCGGACATTTCCGGAAATGCCGGAGTGTCAGCGACGTAGGACCCGGAAAAGACCGACAAACTACCGCCTATTGTTGATATAGACCCAGTCTCGCGACCGCTATCAGTAAAACGGTCCGGAGCAGTACCCCAGGGGCAATGAAGATAGCCTACCTGCTGACCCTGTTCCTGTTCAAATTCGAGACCCTTAGCCTAAAAATGTTGTCAGAACCTGACAAAACACACCACACCACACCATGCAGTTAACCCCACACCCAAACCATGCAGTAGTGCTCCAAACTGCAGGTAGAACTCGACAAACCAACACCACACCAATACCCTGCAGTAATGAGACCCCTATCATTATGTCCTTAGGTAACATTCGTCAAAAATACACATTCCATTTTCCATGCTGCGGTCACACCACACAAATCCATGCAGCAGCAAAGCCCTATCACTATGTCCTATGCTAACGCGCTCCAAAGTACACAATCAAGTTAACATGCTACTGTACACGCCCTGCCGCCTACGTTCTCAGAATCCTACATAGGTTCCATACACTCATATTACATACATTGCCCAGTACTCTACCAATCCACAGACCATTACCTGGACGCTGCAGACAAACTACCACTCACTTCCCCATCACTACCAGTTTCTGAAGAACTCCAATGGTTACCCAGTTAACCATGTAGCAATGTGGCCCCAGATTGCATCTCTGCCTCTTGAGAAACTTTTCAGAACACGCAGGAAAAACTCCTGAGGGAAATCCATCATCCTCAGTTCCCTGGACAATGTCAACACTTTGTCTGGTAACTCGCTGCGCAGAGTCGTGTTCCTCTCAATTCTGTGCAGTCGACTTGCGATCACTTCACTTTTCTGCCGTTTACTCCCCCACGAGGGGTATTCCTGTCCGATTTTGAATTCCAATCTTTCTTCCGTCCATACTGTCTTTTCGTTCTTCGAGAGCTGTACACAGGAGAGGAATGGCATCACGTCCTGTTGCCGCATTTCCAATCCGAGGAAATCCCAGTTCTTTTTCCCTCCATCCGTGCGCTTCAGCGTAAGGTTCCTTGGGTAGCATTTCTCGAAATCTGCACGAATCTGCTCACTAATCCTCCTGTCCTTCTTCTTGGTTGCGATAGCGACACTCATGTCGTCAATCAGCCGGATCCCGAAGATGTTGGCCCGCTGACTCCTTTGTTCACAAAGAAATTTGAACTCAGCGTGTGCACACATGATGCACGCCAGCGGTGGGCTGGTACTTTTCCCCATGGGAATTCCAACCACCTGTTTCAAGAGCACGCCAGTCGCCTTGATATAGGTGTGCTGAAGATCCAAACCTACAAAACGCCTCAAGTCCTCCAGCTCGATTTTCCTCCAGTGATCAGCTCTAGTGGTACGCCCGAAAGAGCTCCCGCGTCCTCTAGTGTTCACTCGTACTGACTTCTTTCCTCTACTCTGAAAATGATCGACGATCCAATCGACTGCTTCCATGATGTCCGTGTGTGGTAGCTTGCTAAACATATCCTTGATGTCATATGACATCGTGGATATTTGCAGATCCTGCCTTGGAAATCGTTGGATCTGCTTGTTGATCTTCTCGATTCTTGGTACCAGGTCAGTCACTGACTTCAGATTGAAGTGCCATTTCGTTGGTAATGCATATAGTAGATGGTTCAAAGCCTTGGCTGCCGCCCTCGAGGTTTTAACAGTCGGCTCGCTGTAGGATGGAAAAATTGGTCGGTATCTGTCCAAATCCTTGTGCTTCGGCTGAACGTAAGCGCAACCGAATGTTCCTTTCTTGTCGATTTTAACGAAGTTCTTCAGCCCGGCTTCTGTCACCTCCCTACTCATCTTCTCGGCGATCACCTCCTCGGTTGTCTCCATGATCTTGTAACCGCTGTTGCATACAAAGGTGGAGAGCATCGCCTCATGGTACAGGGCCGGGCAGATCACGAGGGTCTCGCCCGGATTCCTATYCAGTGGGGTACATACCAACCCAGTCAGTTGGTTTTTCAGCGCGTTGACCGTTCCCATCTGCAGGTACTTCTCGGGTTGCGCCACCGTTCTAATCAAACAATTGCTTAYATCCTCAACTGTCGTGACACACGTCTTCGATCCTCRATTCGGCCACTTGTTGAAAGCTTCTTCAATCTCGCGTCTCAACAGCGTACTTCGATCCGGATGTGATGCCCTCGGTATATTCTTCRCGTTGCACAGCATCGGGTGTACACCGTCCATATCACGCAGTCTGAATCGCACATGTTCTCTTATCCTTCGATAGGGTAATCCTGCACACGTGCAGGTACAGACGTCTGCACGCGCATACGTCCGTTGATTATGTAACAAGTCGGCGACCRATGGATTGMTTGTCCAAATGATCCTCACCTTGCTACGTGCTCGCTTCATCATGCATGATGGCAGCGCTTGTTCCCCAATCTTGTCGTTGACCACCTTCCSAACCTCCACCAACTTCACACRATCGTCAAACTTCAGTTTAACATTAATGTTTGCCCCCATGATCCAACCTGAAACATCCTTGATCACCCTTCCGATTACTCTTCTCAGATACAAACGGAACAACTCCTCTGTGTCTCGGTGCTTCAAGTCACTAATCCGCATGGGATCACGCAATGTTTTGATAAGCTCTTGCTTCCGAATCTTACTCCGACTATGCCATCGTCGCAGATATCTTACCGTCATACATCCACCCTGCTCCAAATACTGCTTACATTTTGCCAGCGTCATCGTCCCACTTTCGCATGTGACGGTCGACGTTCCAAAGGCCTTCCTAATCTTCTTCCACCTATCTAGCCAGCGGATACCCCCGGTGGATGTCAGTTTAAACTTATGCACACCCCTTTTCTCCAGTTTTGCGAGTGTGTTGACGATATCGAGCTTCTCCTCCGTGAATCCCTCACATATAATCCCCACCGGTTTGACGTACCCGCCTTTCCGCGTCACTCCCTCCTCCCCTTGAATCCTTTCCCGCTCACTTTTTCCCATACGCTTCGCGTTGCGACGCTTCCTCCTCCTACGAACTCCGTTCGTATTTAACGAAGGATTCCATTGGTGTATATGAACTTGCTCGTATGCGAGCAGTTTATCCTCGGCGCAGGTAGCCAAGGGCACTAGTACGTATGACTCCCATCCAAAACTCCACCACCAACGATATAAGTAAGTATCCTTACTCCTTCGGTCACAACATGACGTATGTTTACGCCAACGTACGTTAACGTGCCTGCTGGTTTGTCCGACTTACTGAGCCTTGCAGCGAGGCGAGATTAACGTATAGACTACATTCGTACCCTTAATAAAACTGATCCCCTCTTCCTCATACATCCGTACCCACGAGTCGATGCATTTCGTCAACCATCGTATCTCACCCGCTAGAGTAAGCAACATAATTGTCAGTCAGTAAAGTTTTTCCACTCGTGTATCAAAAGTCCTTCCCTGACGATATTCCACAGGACAATTGCATAGAGTCCATAGAAAATTCATATCATCGAAACTTCATGCTTCGGGTTCTTCTTTGACTTGTTCGTCCGCACTTCCCTGCTCAATCCCATCCGTCTCGTAATCACTACTGCCAACCTCCTCCTCTTCACTTTCATACGCCACCATTGATCTCTTCTTTGCGATGTTCATGGCCACAATTGTCTTCTTCTCGTAATCCACGTCCTCCTTCCGACAAATCTCCTTGAGATCTTCGACACCCAGATCCGCTAGTGCGCGGATGTTCTCACAAATGAACTGCGCTTTTCCCGCTGATCCCGCCGTGGCAGCGATCTTCGTTCGTGAAGTACCCCTTCTCGGTGTAAATCTTGGCGGAGTCTTGTTCGTCTTCATCTTTGGTGTCGTGCGTTGTAACTTCGCTGCGAGTCGCACGGGTTTCACTCCGGTCGCCTGCGGCGTTCTCTTCGCTGATTGCATCATCGGTGGGCTATTGCCCACCGTTTTCTTGGTGCTTCTCTTACGCTTCTCCTTAAGCATCAATATCCGAGTACGTCAGTTCAATGGTATCGCGTCGCCCGATTCATTGCCACTTGTAGTCGACGGTCCTGGAGACGGTGGCGATGCTACCTTCTTCTTCCCTTTCCGATCGATGGATACTGTTGCGAGCGCCTTGAGCATCTCGTCCGTCAATTGTTCACAGAAACCTCCGGATATCTGTTCTCGCAGTTCACTCGCAACTAATGCAGCCTCCATCCTCATCTCCTTCCGCATCTCCATCCTCAATTCCTCGGTTTCTCTAATCTTTGCGTTTTTTCGTGCCTGCTTCTTCTCTTGTGCTTCCTGTTCAGTTATGGCCCGCTGTTGTTTCTCCAGCTTCTCCTGCTTCCGCCTCTCCTTCTCGATCCTCTTTTGCTTCTCCTGCTCAATATGACCTTGCATCGATGCTAGTGACGCGCCCAACTCTTCAATCTGTTTCTTCAACTTCGAGCGGTCCGGTGAGGCTTCGCGTGAACCTGCCGGTTGTCCTGCTCGACCATCTCCTGGTCGTGACCCTCCTTCGCTCGTCAGTTTCCAACATTGATTGCGATAGTGGCCAACTTGGCCGCATTCAAAACATGTAGGTGGYGCCCTTCTACGGGTTTCTCTAGACGATTCCCCTCGCTCCCGTTGTGTGTCGTGCCGCTCCTCTTRGTAGTAGTCGCGTTCCCCACCTCGTTGTCCGTCCCTCCATTCTTCACGTCGTCCCTCACGACGATCATCTCTCCGGTCTCTGTCGTAACCACGGTAAGCCATCGCGCCCGAATTCGCTTGGTCARTACTTCAKTGAACTCCGTTCGMTGTTCAAACTTCGAAACAAGTCTGCTCTTSATTGCTTCAATATCRTAACTAGTAATCATGTCCAGAAGGACAGCATGCTCACTCAAGCTCGGGCAAACGTATCCAACCAGGTTCACATGTGCGGTCAGAGGTATGAAAAAGAGTGAAATGACGGATGATGAAAAACATACACGTCACAAACCAATACAACGATAAACGCCGAAGTTGCCAAGTATCGATGTATTCAAATCAAATCAACAAAAACAACACATATGCCGATGGGTATGGCTACCCCGACCGGTTTCGATCGCCGCCACGCGGTCGTCTTCAGGGGGCTTTCACCACCTTAGCTTCTCCCTCACACTTAGTCCTTCGTTCCACACTCCCCCGCGGTCGCGTCCASTTCCGGACATTTCCGGAAATGCCGGAGTGTCAGCGACGTAGGACCCGGAAAAGACCGACAAACTACCGCCTATTGTTGATATAGACCCAGTCTCGCGACCGCTATCAGGAAAACAGTCCGGAGCAGTGCCCCAGGGGCAATGAAGATAGCCTACGTGCTGACCCTGTTCCTGTTCAAATTCGAGACCCTTAGCCTAAAAACGTTGTCAGAACTTGACAAAACACACCACACCACACCATGCAGTTAACCCCACACCCAAACCATGCAGTAGTGCTCCAAACTGCAGGTAGAACTCGACAAACCAACACCACACCAATACCCTGCAGTAATGAGACCCCTATCACTATGTCCTCAGGTAACATTCGTCAAAAATACACATTCCGGGCCCGGAGAACTTCATTTTTAGCAATTAAAAGCACAAAAAAAAAAAGAAAAAATTGGCGGTGTCTTTAATTTATTTTTTATTTTAAATTTGACACCGAATTTCGATATCATCCCAAGGCAAAAGTTGTTCAGTTTAGGTATCTGCATAACATAGTTTGTTTTCATAATTATTTCAGGACATTTTTTATTATTATTTTTTTTCCTTTTTTTTTTTTTTTTTTTTTTTTGGCGTTCGGGCTCAAACAGACTGCCCGGGGAGCAACCGGTTGTCCGAGGTTGCGGACAACCTCGGACAGTCAGGGGGTTCCTGGATATCCGATCAGGTAACCTAGCAAAAAATGGAACAAATACTCCAAGTATCTAGCTGCACAACAACATCAGCAAGAAATCACGATAATGCAAAACCTCGTGGATGCAAAACAGAAGCAAATTTTGCAAGCGCAGGAACCAAGCACCCCTGAATTACAAACCCATATACTAGACTTGAAGACCCAACTTTTGAAGCACGCAAAGTATCGATGGCAGGGAGCCTATACAAGGGCAAGACTATCCAGATTGTCTACTTAAGGAGCGATGAATTTCCACTTCTTCTGCCTATCTAGAACACGTTTCAAAAGGACCACGATCGAGGCATTCTACGGACTGAAAGCTAGGGAATCGGCCCCAAGCGTGACCATTGCTCGATGCACTAAGATAACATATGATTTTTATAAAGACCTATTCTCCTCGCATGTGGATAAGTCAGATACGCCATACTACGATCGTCAATTAAAAAAAGTTTTGGAACCGGTCAACAAAACATTGACATCTGAACAGCGCGAATCCTTAGAGGCCCCACTCTCCAAACAGGAGATATGGACAATTGAAGGAGGAAAAGGTACCTAGGATTGATGGTTTTCCTAAGGAATTTGGAAAAACACATGGGATTTTTTAAGCCATTACGTTATGGACTTCTATGAAGAAGTATGGCTTACAGGTGGGATGGGTGAAAAGGTGGGGCAAGGGATATTGACCCTCCTATATAAAAAAAGGGACAAAATAGATATTAGAAATTACCGCCCAATCACACTTCTTACGATAGTATACAAGATGTTGTTTAAAGCCTTAGCTAACAGTATGATCCCTGTAATGGAAGGCATCATTCACCTCTCCCAAACCGGCTTCATAAAGAACAGGAATATGCGAGAGAACATTTTGTTAATCTATGAGGTACTCCAACTCACGAGACGCTCCGTCATAGTGCAACTTTGGTTTTTATCGACTTCGGAAAGGCCTACGACCATGTGGACAGGCTGTTTCTAGACAGATGCCTGGAAAAAATAAATTGTGGGCTAGATTTCTAATACTGGATACAAATCCTACACCACAATGCAGCCACATGTGTCCAAGTCAACGGATGCCTGGCACCGCCCCTACGCCCTATGGGCTATGTATCACTCGCGGTCATGACCGCAGGCTTTTTGGCCGCATGCAGTCATGATCATGCCCATGGGGGCCAACCGCTGAGGCTAAGTGCAGTAAAAAAACCCCGACATTTTTAAGTCGTAGCATAATAGGCAAAATATATATATATATGCATACAGGGTCACCATCCCGTACGTACGGAGGTCCCCGGGCCGACCTCCGTACGTACGGGCGTTTGGGGTCCCGTACGGGGTCCAAACCCGACGGCGTTCGGCACCCGTCAAAAATTATTTCGGGTCCTAAAACTAATTTTTTTTTCTGAATTTTTTTTTGTGAGTTTTCTATGACGTGAGGTACCTGTCTAAAAATTTTCAAGTCATTTGGCTCAGCCACATAGGAATTAAAAATCGCCAAAGATGGCGGTGTCAAAACGTGCTCGCCCACGGTTTGTTTAACTTTTTACTTTTTGTTTTCACTTCAGTTCAGGGTCTTTTCAATTTTATTATTTTTGGAAACTTTTTTAGTAAGTTTTGCATGATGTGAAGTACACACCTGTAAATTTTCAGGGTATTTAACTCTGCCAAAAAAAAATAAAAAATCGCCAAAGATGGCGGTGTCGAAAACGTGCTCGTGCACTCACTAAATGTAATTATTTTTTTGTTTTTTGTTATTTTTATTATTAGTATTTATTTTTCGTATTTTATTTTTATTTCAAATTTGGTAAGGAATTTGGATATTATGCTCAGGCAAATCTTGTTTAATTTATTTTTCTCCATAACATACCTTTTTTCCAGATTCTTTTGATGATTTGTTTTCTTTTTTTTTCTTTTTTTTTTTGGGTCCGCGTTCGGCCCGAACGGCTGAACGCATCCCCAAGGGGTCCCATATGTTCGGGCGTTTGGGTTCGGGCGTTCGGCCCGTCCCGAAATGCCGGTTACCCTGTATACATATATATATATATATATATATGTAAATCTATATATTTAGATATATATATGTATATATATGGGGTTGTAAGGTTTAAAAAACCGTGCCTCTCTATAATTTTTGTTTTGTTTTTTGATGTTCTTAATGATTTTTTAAAAATCATTAAATAAAAAAATAAAGCATTAAAATCAAAAGAAACATAATAAAAAATAGGGGGAACTTTTTTTTTTCGTTTATTTCGAATTGTCGGTGAGATAATTATGGTGCACATGATTCTTTGATTCATTTTTTTCCCTACATATGCAAATATAAAACGAAAAATATATATATATATATATATATATATATATATATAAAAGAAAAACAACAAAGTCGTTTTTTTTTYTTTTTTTCTTATTTTTTTCGTTTTTGATAGACAAACAAACTAATTGATTGATTGATTGATTAGAAAGAAAAAAAATGAATGCATTAGTTTTTGTGTGTGTGAGTGTGTGTCTGTGCGCCGGGGTGCGTGCGTGTGTGTGTGTGCATGCGTGGGTGCCTGTGTGTGTGTGTCCTCACGTGTGTGTGTGGGGGGGTGAGCGCATGTGTGTGTGTGTGCATGTGTGTGTGTGTGTGTGTGTGTGTGTGTGTGTGTGTGTGTGTGTGTGTGTGTGTGCCAGGGGAAGGGGAGAGAGGAACCAATCAATCAACCAACCAACCAATCAATCAATCAATCAATCAATTAACCAATCAATCAACCAATCAATCAATCAATCATTCGATCAATCAATCAACCAATCAATCAGTTAATCAATCTATCAATCAATCAATATTTTTTTTCCTTTTTTTAAATTATTGTTTTCACACACCAAAAATCACCCCCCCAAAATTTATTTATTTTTACTTTTTTTTGTTCAAGGGGGTGGGGTCGGGGTTCCGGAACCCCAATCCGCAACCCCCTTCCCCAACCCCCTTCCCCAACCCCCTTCCCCAACCCCCTCTCCCCTCGGCCGCAGCGGGTCGCCGAAGTCCGCGGCCGCTACGGTCATGACCAAGGCCTCGCGGCCACAGCCACGGCCCGCGGTTGTGCCCGCGGTGACCGCGACCACGGGGGATTCGTAGCCTACGCCTGGAGCAGACGGTCCGCCAGGGGGACCCAATTGCCCCCTTCCTTTTCCTGGTCATTATGGAAGCACTAGCTGCCAACCTTCGGGCAAACAAAAACATTACAGGAATCCGAGTCACACACATCCCGGAGGATGCAATCTYGGTATGCTCCYTTTTTGTGGATGATCTCACAATTATGGMAGAGGCCACACACARCAACATGGAGGAAATTCAACAGATGATGGAAAAGTTTGCCAAGGTTTCCGACATGACAGTCAACTGGGGGAGCAAAACTCAAGGATGGTGGATTCACTATCAAGGGGAACGCCCCCGAGTCACCACGTATTACATGGATGCCGTTAGAGACCCAGTAAGAATCCTAGGGGTATCCATGACCATAGAGGGATGCCCACCAACCAATGATGAATAGATCAGCGCCCCGGCTCAGCAAAAAGTAAATAATTGGATAAACAAGCATACATCCCTAGTTGGTCGCGCTCTAGTAATTTACAATGTTCTTTTCGCAACATTATGGTATAAGTCGTTATTGTGGCCAATGAGCAAAGCAGCCCTAAGGAGCCTAAGGAAAAAGGCAGCAACTTTCCTATAGAAGGGGGACGGCGAGCAGAGCAATGTAATAAGCCGAGTGGCGTGGGATTCAATTATCCAACCTAAGGCGGGGGGAGGCCTGGGAATAATTGACCCAACCGCAAAGGTGCAAGCATTGCGACTAAAATGAATAGAAAAACTCATTTTCGCCCCCCAGTGTCCGTGATGCGTATTAGCTCTTGAACACCTGGCCCGACTGGCCTTGAAACCCCTAAACGATCCACCCGCTGA